GAAAAAGTAATGAGGTGACAGCAGAGTGGAGAGAGGAGAAGTGATAGGAGATGAGCCCAGAAAGTAATCCCAGTAATGATCCTGGTCACATTGGAGTCAGGGTAAGTGTCCTGAGAGCCAGGCTAAGGAGTTAAAGTGTGATTCTAGGCCATGGCAAACTAGCAGACTATTTTAAAGAAAGGAATGCAATGACAAGTCTTTACGTTTTTAGAAAGATGTCTCTAGCAGCACTAACCTCAACTTATCTGCCTGTCTGACTTGAAATAGTTTTAGGGTTTGGTCTTTATCTCAGTGGATGGGGGTTTGAAATACACAGTTGTTTCATTGATTCTGGGAAAAATTTCTGGTTGGGGTTTAGGACCTACTCCATAATGTCAGCTTCATTTTTCTTTGAAGAAGGACATTGAGGATTGAGAGTCTTACTGAAACATCTCTAGACTATCAGCCTGTGTCTTAATTTGGAGGTTTAAACACAGAGTGAAGATAAAGTTATGCTTTTCCTGGGTAGTTGTGCTAGAAAGCAAGATCGTGAGTACTTGCAATGCTCAGGCAGGACCATTATTGAGTGGAGAATTATGAGCTCCATTCCTTGCCTTTAGTTCACGCACAGGGCAGGCAGCCCAGATGCAATCCCTTTGCAATGAGCGCTATAATACCAGGATGCTCCTCCCTTAAGTGGGCATCACTTTTTTTCACGTGGTCCAAGACCTCGATGTCATCGAAGTGGCTGCCTCATTTTCCTCACAGGTTCCCTTGCCTCCTAGAAGCAGCAGAAACCTCATGGCCTTCTCAAACACTGCAGTGGCAAGGCAAAGGCGAAAGTTGTTTTTCTCTGTCCTGGGGCTGGCGGGGCATCTGCCTTGAATCTTGGACATAATTGTTCTACCCGTACCCTCTACTGAGACCTGCAGCTGTGTGAGCTTTGAGCAGTGCCTCCTCCCAAGAAATGCCGTGGTTTTATGAAGTAACTGATGATTAAAAAAATAATAAGGAAAGGAAAAAAAAACCTCTTCCCTTTGGTTGCTTTCAAGCTGGGGGATTGCTTAGCTCAAAGGTTTGTGATTGGAATGCAGAAGCCTTTAGTGCCAAGTCATACACCCCAGATCACTGCTGCTTTTTTTCTTGAAAAGATTAGTTTTTGTTAGTTGCTTGGTAACCAGAGGATAGGAAGATTTAACTCTTTCAGCACAGAGAGCTACTGGTTTGAATTGGATTATGCTGTCACATCATGAGATAGAACTGTGTTGACATGTGGTTAAGGCCTACCTTGTGCTCTAACCACTAAGAGCAGGTGCACAGATGGTGGTGATAGGTATGTAGAATTAAAGTGAGTTGCACAGGAGAAATTGAAATCTCTGAAATGTTTGAAATTGTGTACACAAATGTATTTGGGAAGGCTTTTCTTCATCTTTTGTAAAGAATGGTAGTGCCCCCCAAAATGCCCAGACTCACAGCTCTGATAGAGTGGATGCCACAGGGAGGTGACTGTCATCGTGGAAGAAGAGAATACTCCCTAGAGCGAGAAGCCCTGGTGACTTTGGGCTAAGCCCTTGAGGTCCAGCCATTAGTGCCTACATCCTTAGTGTGACAGGACTATGTATCATCTACACAGCCCTGAACCCCCCTGAGAATCAAATAGGATGGGACACAGGTGGCAGATGCGAGGCCAAGCATTGTGTCCTGGCAGGCCTCATGCTTACAAGAATAGAATCAGTTCAGTAAGATCAAGACCCTTGGCCAGGACTGTACCTGTCAGGTAGAAGGAGGGACAGAGGAATTTTTTCACAGACCTGGAAAAAATCCATCTGCAGGAGCCATGTGCTCTTCAGCATCCCAGCATATGATGACAAAGTACTGTGAGTCATGGAGCCCTATGGAAGAACCTCCTGGGATCCTCCCAGGCAGTCTGTCAGCATCCCCGGGGAAGAGATGAGCTTCCAGAGAAATTCTGTCTCATCTCCATTCTCCCTTCTCTCTGCTGATAAACCTCCAGACTGGGATTTTGTAGAGAAAACAGGGAATTCTGCTGGATTTTCCTTGGAGACAGTGTATGTTTTTAAGGATATCTCATACTTCCTTTTCAAGATATTTTTTATTTATTTGAAAGGCAGAGTGACAGAGACAGAAGGATAAACAGATAGAGGGATTCATCTTCCACCCGATGGTTCACTTCCCAAATGGTGGCAAAGGCCAGAGCTGGTGGAGGCTGAAGCCAGGAGCCAGGATCTCCATCCGGGTCTGCTGTCTTCTCAGGTGCATTAGCAGGAAGCTGGATCCAAAGTGCAGCAGCTGGGATGTGAACCAGTGCCCTGATATGGGATATTGGCATCACAAGGGGAGTTTTCCACTTTGCCATCACATTGGCTTCAGTAAATCTCATACTTCTAACTGCACATAGATCTGGTTCTTCATCATGTGAGGAGGTGGGTTAGGATCCTGGGGTGGATTGAGGAAATCAGAAGAAATGATATTCCCTGGATACCTCTCTCTCCCTACCCTTAATATTATCGTTTTTGGCAAAAAACACTGAGATTTTCTTTGAGACATTCTACTTGGGTTCCATTATCGATATTGGTTATCTTTATGGCCACAGGGTGAAAACTCATTTCCCAGGTCTTCAATGGCCCTGTGAAAGATGGAACAGAAGCAGATAGTTTCTGAGCAGAGGAGGATTTTTCAGCTTTGGCTTGAAGCACTGGGTGTTGCCATAGTGGTTTGGTGGTTGATGTCTGGTGACTGGACTTGGGTTTCTGGGACCCTTGGAAGGAGTCTGCCTCTCCCCCTCTCTCTAACCACCAATCATGGAGACCACAGAACACATGGAAACAGACTGCCAAGACCATCCAAAAGCTTACTGGTAGTTTGACTCGTGTAGTTTCAAAGGTTACCATTTTATAATTGTGACTTGTTAGATGGCATATAGAGATATGAGAAGACTTTAGAAAGTTTGTGGGAAATATATAATATGGAAAAAATGCATAGATTTCAATATTTTTCACCCAAAATGAATTTATCCTGTAATCCTCTTTTCCATGAACTTTTTGAAATACCCTTGTATTACTAGTTCACATATTTGGTCATATTGGTCATATTTATAAACTTTCAGTTTTGCTTTATTTAAAATTAATTTATGGACATGAGAAAGAAGTTTAGTCCGAGTCCTTTTGTACATAGACTCTCTCACTCAAATGATTAAGCATTTAGCTACAACAATAATGGAGACTGGGATTTATAGTTTGCCTTTTATACCTGAACACCTTTGAAGTTGTTTTAATGAGACTACACACTTGAGGAAGTAATTGTTTATCTGCTTTGTTTAGATGTCTAGGTTCATACAGTAATAATAAGGAAGCCATAAGTAGGAAGAACTCACAAAACTTGAGAGTAAGTAGGGAAATCCAGTGGTATGTTTGTACAGTAGATGTACTAGCACTTAGGACTATTGTATTACTCCAAGCAGATAACACATGTGGAAGCCCCTTTTAAACTGTCAAGCACTTCTCACATTAGATAGATTGGAAGGTGAAACTAAGCAGCTTGTCTACTAGTTCAGTAAACATCTATTGCGTGCCTACTATATGTAACCCTGGTACTGGAGTCTGTCTCTTTTGAAGCATCTGCTTTGTTGCCCATAAGTCCCAAAGATACCCTTGAGCTTATATAAATTCCTCATTTGTAGCATCTTCTAGATGAAATAATTGAAACCAGGACATGAAAAGTTGCTTGGCTGGTTTTGCTTTATGAAGTTCTACTCCTCTAGAAGTGCAGAAAAGAGCAAGTTCTGGGTTTCCAAGTTTATCTCACATTCAGTTCCATTCATAAGGAAAGTTAAATGGTGCCATTTGGATCCTCTTTATGAATTCTTGGGCAAAGGAATCTGATGTCCTCATTCAGCTAGGTCATATGTTCACTCCTAGTCCAATCGACTGATAGGGGTGGGGAACCTTTTTTATTCCAAGGTTCACCTGTATGTTTATAACATCATTCACGAGCCATACAAAATTATCAACTTAAAAATTAGCCTGCTCTGGACTTGTTGAATTTCATATTCCACTTATTGTTGCCTTGGTTGGTCAGACAAAATGATTTTGTGGGTCGTATAACGACCACAGGCCAGATGTTCCCCAATACTGGGCAGCTGAAAGTCCACTCAGGAGATGGTCATCATTGTCATCAAGACTGACAAGGTCCTTGACTCCATAGAGTTTGCAGTCTAGAAGGAAAAAAAGAACTTACACAAATCATTGTGGGATGGTATTATAGCCACATGTAAACTTGAGTAGGAGATCCTGGAAACCTTCCCCAAGGAATATGGGTAGGATTAACCAAAGGAAGCAGGGGACATGTGTCCTGGGAGAGAAGAAGGTGGCAGGTGAGGAATGAATGTTCCAGACAGAATTGGCTGGGGAAAGAACATGCCCAGCAGCAAGAGAAGATCTGGCTATTTGGCAATGTGGAAAATTTATAAAACATTTACAACAATGACTTGATTATGTGACTGTTCTCTTTGGCTTAGACTGGACCTTCTTTGAGGGCAGGGACTATCCTTTCTATTGCCTTTGGAACCAGTTGGCATGTGGAGAATTTTATGTAGCAGGGCACATTTAGTTTCATTGGGTAATTTCTTGGTCCATTTTCTCCCTGGCTTCCAGCTGCTCAGTGTTAAAATCTTGGTATATGTCTTGAGGCATATCGTCTCACCATTCCCCAGGACGATGGATTGCGTGCCCTCCCACGGTATGCTTTTTCTCTCCCTCCAGGTTGGCAGAGAGGGATAAAAAGGAAATTATGCTCGTTTTTGAAAAGACCAATAATTGCTACTTTTTCTTTCCTAAGTACTGCTTTTATATTCCCCTTCCTCCCAGTCCAAGTCCCTGAACAGATGTTTTTATGGACATTGTTGGCTATGTTTTTGTTTTGAAAATTTCAAAACATTATTGAAAGAATAGAGGGCTAGAAAAAAACCTGTAATTGATTCTAATATATATTTAATTTGGCAGAACTTGAGAGAGACTTGCTGGGATAAGGCGGGACATTTCTTTGATCTCCCAGACTTCTTATCATGGAAGGCAACAGGTGTCACAGCACGGTATGTTAATTACAAGTTGGATGTTGTTTGTGCTCTTCCATTCTTGGGTGTCTGTATATATATATTGATTTCTTAACTCTCTTTGGACATACCATTTGTACATCTGCATGTGATTTTGCACAGTTAAAACATCTTGAATCTATCTTCCATCTCCACTACACATGCCCAAGTACCATTGTTCCTATGAGGCTTGGAATGTGACTATCCAACATGAAGATCATTTTTTACAACTGGATGTATTTGAAGGAGATGTGAAAAAAAGAAATGGTGAAATGTGACTATTTTTCCAAAGGCACTTTTTACATACTGAATAAAAGGATATGTGTGTGTGTGTGTATGTGTGTATAAGAGAGAGAGATTTTAAAATGTTCATGGAGAACAGAATTGAAAGATACATGTTTTTGTGGTACAAAAATGTTTGAAATCCGTATGTGGAGGGGTCTTCAGAAAATTCATGGAAATGTTATTATGAAACAACTGTACATGGATTTCAAAATTTTTTGTGCAAAAATCTTTTAATTCCATTTTCCATGAATTTTTTTGAAGTTTTCTCTGTGTCTCTCCATATTTTATATATATATATATTTTAAAATATACTTAATTATATGTAATTATATATATAATATATATATTTATATTTCTAAAGTTAAAACAAGAGATATGTTCAAGGAAACTTATTTTAATTTGATGAGTGCAGTATGAACCCATTTTGTTTTTTATATACATGTATTGGTACCATCCCATACTATAGAAGTATAGATGTTGATATCAACTGCTATTTGTCAGTAAATTATGGATGTTAAACATAAATATGCACTGACGGAAGAAGACTTTCACAAAATACTCATTGGGTGTGAAATTGTGGCTACAATAATTAACAGAATAAGTGTGTGCATTATTATGGGTAGATAGGTAGGACAGAAGATCTCTAAGTATGGCAAGTCTGTTATCATCTTGACCTCAGATTTAATGGGATGGGGAGATGTTCTTAATGCCTGTGAAGAAGATGATCATTTCCTAGAGTTCAGCTAAACCTATGTAAATTAAGGAGACAGGTTTTGTATCTTAAAGTCAGCTTCTTGGTTTGTGTGTGTGTGAGTGTGTACACTCTTCCCCCTGTGCTCTTCCTATTTCATTTTGTTGGGTTTGGGTCTTTTCTTGCAGCAAGTTGATCAGACTGCAATAGTTGTTCACCAGAGGTTACCAGTAGAGATAGTAGAGGACATGTTTCACAAACACATCATTCTTCATGTCAGTTTTCACCTCTGCCCAGTGAAACAATTGTTAGCTAAAGGTCAGGGGGCACTAGGTGGAAGGGGGGGGGTGCCTACATGCACATGCAAATGGTCTTAGCAATCCTTTGGCCTTCCCATCTCTCCTGGAGAGAGGCTTTGGAGGAGTGGTCTAACCTTCACCCTAGACTGTGTAATTAGTCACTGTTAAAGTTATCAGCAATGTGGAGGGCAGTGTGTGGGTGCAGAGCTCATCGTGGACATTTCTCTTCTGGTGTGACGTTATTTGCACAAAGGTATTGAGAGTATCTTTCGCTATTTTTTTTTTGTGTGTGTGTGTGACTTGTGCTACAGTGAAAGAATATTTTGATCATTTTAGCCAAATGGACCTATCAGTCAAAGTGCTGTTAGTAGTTGTGTGTATAGGAAATATGCCATTAATCTGGAAGCTTTGAGGACCCAAAAATGGAGCTAGAGGTGGAAGACTTGGATTTGCTTCTTTTTTGGATTATTGTTCAACCCAACATTTTGGCTTCCTCCCTGTTTCTTTCTGTTGGCTCTGGATGCTCTACACTCTCATTATCTGATGTCCAATACTGTGTTCAGACACCCAGGATTGGACTTTCTGAAGGTAGCCCTGGCCAAATAGATTAACTGCAGTGGCATGTGTGTATACTGTAAAGTCATAGTGTGAATCCTATGCCTGGCTTCTGCCACACGCTGGTTGGGTCACCTTGGGGAACATTTTCCCCTTCTTTGTGTCTCACTCTCCTTATCTGTAAGATGGGATCATGACACCCACCTGCAAGCTTGTTGTGTGAGTCCTATTAAAGCCAGTTTTCCAAACTAGCCTGCTCATAAGAATTGCCTTAATCATATATTCAAAACACAGATCCCCAGGACTTCTATTGTAAGTCTACTGGAGCAGAATCTCTTTAGCGTCCTGGGGTTCTATTTAACTAATGCCCCAGGTGGTTATGCAGTCTGGGAAGTTTGGTCATTGCCTAACAGGATGGACGTGAAAGTGCTCATGGACTATGGCTTGGAGGTGCTCTACACCTGTGAGGGATGGGAAGTATTTTGGAAACCTAAGGAATTTGGTAAGTTTAAAAGTGAAGGGCTTCTTGTTGACTTCCCAGAACCTGCCTGAGGGCTTTCATCCCTGCCCCTGAGAATCTACAACCTGGGAGAAGCAGAAAATGTAATGCTTACAAGTGATTTCTTGGCTCTGCAGTCATCCTTGATATCATTTATTGGTTATGCCATTCATGACTCACTCTGTTTTCATTAGTGTAAATTAACACCCTCCCCGCCCCAGCTCTCATACCTGTGAGTACCTTCAGAGGCTTCTCTTCCTCTGACGTCCAAGGTGGTCACCCCCTTCCCTGGCCCACTGACAGCATCCATGTCTCTCTGTCTCCTCTGTCTGGTGTTTACTCTATTTTTTCCTGCTTCTCTGTTTCAACCTGCATGATTCCAGGAAACAAAGAGCCCCTCTGAACTTGCTTGATTTTAAATGAGATCATGACAAAACCTCGGGTGTTCCTTGGGTTATTTTCTGGATGGTTGAGGTCACAGAAGAGCTTCTAACACATGGCTGAGTGATTTTTAAAGGAATTAGCTATTTGGTTTAGTTTTGTTTCTCTATCCATTTTGGCAGAGTCTTTACATACATTAAGTTTATGGCATAGTGGAAAGAGGGAAATCCTGGTGGCCAGATGGAGGTGGGCTCAGGGTCTCCATCATGGCCTGACTCAGGAAGCTGGACCAGAGGATTTGCTTCTCTGAGCTTCCTGTCTGCATCTGTAAGCTCTCAAGGTTATGGAGAGAGTGAGGGGCATTGTGGATAAAACAGGTAGCATTTAGTATTGAAACAATAAGGTGTCTGTCCCCTCCTTAAAATAAGGCAGACAGGGTTCTCAATTTGAATGTGCCAATGCCAGAAAAACTCTGGGTAATAGAACAGGAACTTGGCATCCTCTGGGCCAAGCAGAGGTTCAGATTTGGTGTTTATTTGGCTCTTAGATGTGATTGTTTTGGGAGGCTTTGGTGAAATGAATGCCAAAAGTGCCAGAGGGTGTTTTTCTTTCTTTTCTTTTTATTATTCTAGTAGAATCAGGGCTAGCAAGTGATTGGATTTCACCTTGTCTTAAAGCTTTCAAACTTGTTTCTGGCAGTGGCCTTGGGTAAGAAGTCCTCCTGCTGCTTTTTTCCTCCTCTGTTTCCCTCTCCCCTTTCCTCCCTGCCTCCTTTCCTCCCCCTTCTCCCCTTTGGTTTTGCTCTCTGAAATACAGCAGCTACTTTTGTTTATCTGGGTCACTGAGAACATCACTACAGTGCCTATGACTGATTTATAATTCAACTCCATTCTTTTCATGCTATTAGTGAAAATAATTACGACTGTTTTGTCATGAATAATGGTAATTATCATTTGTTGAGTGCCTTTCTTTTGTGTGTGTGAAGCATATTGACAAATGTTAACTCCATTAGTCCTCATAGCCATCCGTTAAAGCAGGTGGTGTTATTACCATTTTGCAAGGCAAGAACTGAAGCGGAATGCTTTAGCAATTTGCCACATTCTAGCACTTGAGTGAGTAACTGTCTAGATTAACATGAGAAATGGTTAGTCAGAAATTTGAATAATAAAATTTTGTATAGTCAGAAAAAAATACAATGGGACTTCAAAAAATTCATGAAAACATGGAATTATTGTTTATTTTGGTATAAGAATTTTTAAATATATGCATTTTTAACATAATGTGCATTTTTCAGGAACTTTTTAAAGATCCCTTGTATTCATATATGTAACTTCTCCCTCCAGAGAGATTTGAGGTGACTGGTAATAGATAAAAATAGATGGAAAACTATGGTAAATTGAGTGAAAATATTAATAGAATGAGTAGAAGCTGAAAGCTTTATAGAAACAATAGAGTGCTGTATAATTACTAATAGATTTGTTTCTAAGCTTCTTAGTGAGCAAAGTAAAGCTGGAACATGGCAAGATTCACTGAGTGAGCAGACTGAAAACCTGACAGCTGTTTAGAAGTAGAATTTTTTCTAACACTGGGGTCTGAGAGAAACTTCTCTAAATTATTTAATTATTTACAAGGATCTTCTATTAGCTTTCTTTCTTTCTTTCTTTTTTTTTTTTTTTTGACAGGCAGAGTGGACAGTGAGAGAGACAGAAAGGTCCTCCTTTGCCGTTGGTTCACCCTCCAATGGCCGCCTGGGACCCGTGCACTGCGCTGATCCGTTGGCAGGAGCCAGGTGCTTCTCCTGGTCTCCCATGGGGTGCAGGACCCAAGCACTTGGGCCATCCTCCACTGCACTCCCTGGCCACAGCAGAGAGCTGGCCTGGAAGAGGGGCAACCGGGACAGAGTCCGGCCCCCTGACTGGGACTAGAACCCGGTGTGCCGGCGCCGCAAGGTGGAGGATTAGCCTATTGAGCCGCGGCGCCGGCCTAGCTTTTAATCATAATTTCAAATAAGGTTTTCACTTAAAAATGGTTTTAGGTTTCCAGAAAAGCTATGGAGAAAGTACAGAGAGTTTCCAAGTGCTTGTCACTCAGTTTTCCCTCTTGCTAATGTCTTATCTCAGTATGGTACATTTGTCACAATTAATGAACTAATAGTCTTATATTAGCATTAGCCAGTTTCTTTACTTTATCCAGATTGTCTGGGTTTTTACCTGACCACTTTTTCTGTCCTGGAATCCCATACAGGACCCCATGGTACATTTAGTCATGTCTGCTGAGGTTCCTCTTGGCT